CTGGAGGAGAAACGTGGACACCCTGAAAGCAAATCACTTCAAACAATTCACTGAAAGTTGTCAATAGCTTGAGCAAGAAATGCTGAATATAGGATTTTGGAAGAAAAGAGAAGAGCAAAGATCACCCGTCAGTGCAAACTTTATTGAAAGGGCCTGACTTTTTGTGTTGAAAATCTCTAAATACAAACTGCTTCTAATTAAAAGGCCTTTGATGAAAGGGAAAAAAACCCTGAGCTGCTGTTGTGTATTATCTATGGGTACTTATTTCCAATTTCTGTCCTCCAGATATGTTTTTAGCTTAAACTGAAGGCATAGTAACTGAAGGTATAGTAATACTTGTAAAGTGTCTTTTATTATTGTCTCAAGGTACTATGTTTTGGAAAGAAAAGGCAAAATACTACTACTCTTAGTTCTTACTGTGATTCATGGACTACTGGCAGTGGTCTGCAGATAGGAGGCATAGTAATGGTGGTTTCTCCGGTCAGCGGTGGGTGATTGATTCATGGCCTACAGGAGAGGAGACTTCCTGACCCGCAGAAGCATAACAAAACCTTCGTATAGTTGGGAACAAGAAACTGTGGATGACGTTGGAGACCCTGAGGCAGTAGAGGGCTTCTGGCGGGGAATTACATGCAGCAGTTCCTTGCTGCTCTCTGAAGTGGTTCTATATCCCAGGAAGACCTAGTGATGTCTGGCTTCACAGATCTGCTTTCTTCTGTGGTATGGATTCAGATCATCCAACAGCCCTGGGACAGCATAGCCCTGCTGCTAATTATGCCACATAGCTGCAGTATGGGGGTGACTTTGAAGCTACTTTTAGTGGCATTTAGTTTAAAAGCCACAGTTTCTCCAGCTCTGGAAAAGAAGAGACTGTTAATGTTATCCAATATGACCTCCTCTAAGAGAGGCCATAGGACCTCCCTGAGTTCAGCTTTGTTTGAAACGGGGTTTGTTGTTCTTAGATGTCTAGTAGCATTTTGAGAAGTTCACAGTGGTGGAGAATGCACAGCAGCACTTACTGAGCTGTTTTAAGACCCCATAATTGTTCTCGCTCCTAATATATTGTGCCCGATGCCTCATCTGACTTTGTTTAGCTTGGTGTGCAGCCACTAGATCTTTGTTTCCTTTTGCCTGCTAGTCTTAAGTGCCCGTTACCTACATTTTTCTCCTAAGACTCGTGTTTACAGATGGCAGTGCAGTTGCCTGTGATCTTCTCTTTAATAACCTGAATAGCCTGTGCTCCTGCGACCTTTCGCCATAAGCTGTGTCTTCCCAATCCTTCAACATTCTTGCGAGTATTTGCATTTTAATTTGTGAATCTCCCTGAGTTCTTGGAGGCCAGAGCAGGAAGTTGCTATTTTAGTAGTGGCTAAAATATAGTGTCAGGCGCAGGGGGAGCATAGCACCTGCATTCAGGATTTCTCTTTTTGTACGCAGGGATGATGTAGGGCTGCTGCTAAAGGGACCAGTGCTGGCAAGTCATATTCAGTTGTGGATCACCATCACTGATACTTTTTCCAAAGTTACTGCTTTGCAACGTTCTGTTTGCTGTTGTGTCACGTAAGACTATAAGAACGACAGTAATGGATCAGGAGAAAGATCTGTCTACCCAATACCCTGTTTCTAAAAGCAGAGACTCCAAAAGGACAGGAGAACTGGACAGACAAGTGCAATACTTCTCCACTTCTCCAGCCTCTTCATGTTTAACATCTCCAGGACTTCCTCAGCTAGACATGATTTCTGTTAGTAACCATTAGGAGATTTCTTCTCTGTGACATACCTGGTCTTCCCTTGAGCTCATGCAGATTTACCATGCGCAGCATCCCGTGGCAAGGAGCTGGGCAGCTTAGCCAGATAGTGTGTAAGGATCTGCTGTCCCTTGCTTGGTTTTGGGTTTACTGCCTGCTATTTTCATTCGTTCCCCCTTGTCCTTACGCTGGAAGATACAGGGACAGTCAACTGCTGACCGCTCTCTCCAGGCTGCTGGTAGCTTTATAGGCTGCTGTTGTGTCCCTCCTCTGTCATTCTCATCTGGATTGAAAAGTGTCTTTGTTCTTAGGTGCAGGCTCGTGTTTGATTAGAAAGACATGCAGCTCCTTTGCTTGCCGTCGCTTTGGTAAAAGATCTAGATCTTGCACTCGTCAGTGTTTACAGCTTTCAGCGTCCGTGGGCTGCGGTGGCTTCCACTCATCCCTGCGGGGAGGGGTGGGGGGAGGATAATGCAGGTCACGAAGACCGATTCTTCTGGGATTTCAGTGCACTGACATGATTAATGATGATCTAGCTATATTTTATGACTTGTCAGTTGGCCAATTATTAATCTATTTAATGTATTCCGTGTTATGTAATGTAATTCCAGTTATTTGAGAAATCGTACTGTACAAAGGTAAATGATTTACAGAGCTGCAAATGTGTTGCATCAGAGCTCTTACAGGTTGCAGCCAAACTTGGGATCTTGACAAAAGCACATACCAACTGATTTAAGATGTATGGCTGATGGCTTATTTACTTCCTCTTAACTCCTAACCAGGTTTTAGGTGAGCGTATCCCTCATCTTCCTGGGATGTCAGTTGGACAGATAGCTTCCAATTGAATCTGGTCCTCCTGCTCACCCGTGTCAAACGTTGCACAGCATCAGGTTTCCTTCAATTTTATGGACCCTCCAGAGCTGATGCTTGCTAAAAACTCTGTTGAAAGGTCCAGAGGGCTTCTCGTCCAGCTCCTTTAAACCCCCCCGGGATGCAGGTTAAGATCTCCTGGCTTAAAAATGACCAACTTCATTACCTGTTGTTTCACCTCTGCCTGAATTGTTGTTTGGAATAGACAACCTTTCTGTACCACCCTGTGACACGACGAAACCATCTGGTTTCCTTCTTAATTGATAAACGGAATATTTATTGCACTCTTCTGCCCTTCCCATAGTATTATTGGTAGTTGTTATGTTTCTGTGGAGTAACAGTCCTCAGCTGTCATTGGAATTCCTTGTTCCTGGATGATTTTTAAAACTTAGTATACTAAAAGCTATGAGTAATAGGTTTTTTTTCTTGTGCCATTTCTGCTGATTCATATCACTTCTTGTTTCTGGCGTATTTTAATATGCCAGCAGTTTAGCCTTTATGCCACTTGTTCTGTGTGTTTTTATTGTTAGAGTTGCTTTCCTTTTCATGAAAGCCAGCTTGAGATGTGTGTTTTGGTTTTTCAAATACGACCACCTTTCCTTCTTAGCTTCAGGAGCTTGATCTGCGCCCCGCTTCCTCAACCCCCCCCCAAATCTAGAAACGTATTCTTAAGGTTTCCATTATTGTTTATGTTTTTCTGGTTTTAACATTCCCTCCTTTGAATCATTCGATCTATTTACTTTTCAGGGTTGTGAAAGCAGGCCTCTCAGCAGGCTGGGGAGAGATGGTGTTGCTTTAGGTTTTGGTCTGTTTTCACACGAGAAACGCGATTGTTGCAATCGCTGACACCGTGGGCGCTGCCCATGCCCAGCTTTGATCAGTGTTTTCTTGCCTGTCCAAGAGGCTGTCGTGAGCGTAATTAAAATGCGGTTTCAAGGACAGAGCTCTTTAATGAGCTGGGACATATATATATTATTTAGCAACGCAAAGAGTGTTTTCTGCCGGTGGGATAAAACTCTCAGGTTGGGCGCCTCGGTGGTGCAGTGGGTTGTGTGCGTGCAGGTGGGTCCAAAAACGGGTGCTGGAGAAGCTGGTCATGCCTCCGCGATTTGCTCAGGTCGTGTTCCCCGTCGCTGCCGGGGTGCGAGCCGAGAGCAATTTAGCGCCCTAAGGTCCACGTTGGCCATCTCCATGGGACGCTCATGGGCCTACTGCTTTTTACTGACTGCAGGGGGAACCCGAAACTCCCAGCTCACGTTTCCAGCGGCTCGTAGGTGTCTAAGTTGATTAAGATTAATTGCATCCTAGAGCTACTGCAAATAAAAGTTCAGAAGTGTTGTGTGGCTTCTGCCTCTCCCGGTTCGATTTGGTACCTGGCGAGCATGGCTGCTCCCTGCGCTTTGGGGAGCTTGGAAACCATTTTCTTGACCTCATCTAGATGCTTCCATAGCTGGTTCTTCTTTTTTTTTTTTTTTTTAATGACTCACTTTTTCGTTAGAACTGAGGCAGTGCTTCGTAGTGTTCAGAGTGCAGTTTTAGAAACTTTTATTTTTCTACCACGTAAGGTATTTGGAAACCGCAGCTTTGTTAGCGCATTAGCATTTGGAAAGAGAAAAACAAAGTTCAAACTGGTGTGACTCCAGGAGAGTTCGGGGCTGAAGAAAACGCACGTGCTGCAGTCTTTTAATATCTTTTTATGGCATGTGTGTTTCAGTGGAGAAATATTATCTATCCTCATCGTAGGTTCAGGGGCTATGGGGCTTGTCGAAGATGACACGGAAAGTCTGTGGAGGAGGAGGAACTCGAGAAACCCCCTTGATCCACTTCTAGCTTAATGCTTAATAACAACAGCAATTTACTCTCGTACCTTTGTGAGGCAGGGAACGCTCTAATTATCTTTGTGTTTTATGAGTTCGGTGGTGGTCTGTGGCCTGTTGGCTGTAAACACCAACTGTAATTTTCTGGTGCTAGGTTTTATCTCCCGTCCCGTGTAGCTGATGTCTCACCACGGCAGATCTGCTACTAGATCTGCGCTGTATTTTTTCTGGAGGGTAGTCTTTATTTCTTAGGAGTGGCGCTGGCAAAGAGGGAGGGGAGAATTAAAAACACCCCTCAGTAGGATTATTAAACTTCCACTTATGTTTATTTCCCCAAGTGACTTGAAGCTTGAGGAGCTCTTGCTGCCTTGATGAATTCTTTTGCAAGGAAATAAAAAATAAGACATCATGAAATGTATAGGATTGATAAGGCTAACAAGCTATTAATGATGTGAGTTAGTAGTTGACCTTAACTCCTGTGTTTTTCCACTGATGCTGAAAATTGCATCTTGTGATATTTAATTATTTGGGAAATAATGCAGACAAACTCTCTTTTCTTCCTCAGGATTCAGTAGCTGATGCTGGTCCCCTATCAGAAGAGTTCGTTTGAAGACTGCCCATAGACAATCGATGCCTGCGTTTGCTGAAGTTCTAGGATTCTTCTGTTTTGCTGTTTAATTAACTGAAGAGTCCATTGTTTTCCCATGAACCATCTTTCACCTCTGGAAGAGAGAGGTAAGTTTTCAGGTCTCTGTTTTTTTCTTTCCTCTGGCAAAAAAATGTTTAAACCTGTCACAGAGGTTGCTTTTGTTGAAGCACCTCTTCATGTGGAATTAATTATCGAGGATGCTGAAAGCAAAAGTCATTGTTTCTCTCTGTCCTTGGCATCCTTTTGGGTTGTTTTCCGTACATGAGATGTGTGCTCAGTCTGCATTGCATTGGTGGCTATGAGAATTGTTTTGAAAGCTCATAAAGATGGAATTATTGCCTGAATCAACCGGGTTGTCTCAATATGCTTTGCAAAATTGAATAGCTAATTGCAGCTGTGGCAGAATGCTATGCAGAGGTTTTGTCCTAAAGAATGCCACATGTTTTTGGTAGGCCATGGTAGGCTGGCTTGTAGTGTTCCAGGCTTCTGAACTGGCAAATTGAGTCCATAACTAGAGATTTTAAAAGTCACAAAGTTGGGAAATCATAATGTTTTATGGCAAGGACTAATACAACTTCCAGAGCAAGAACAGTGTACTCAGCATCCTCGGAGCCCTTCCTTGCCGATGCATGTAACGACTCGAACACTTCTGTGGTCTGCCCACAGTCAACAATATCTTAAAGGAAAATTGTTATAATGGAGTGATAACTTGGAAAGGCCGTAGAATATATTTAGAAAAGAACAAAATGGTAAAACAAGTAGCAGTTGAATGTGGATCAACTGCAGCTGCTGTGTGAGTATGGGATTTGCAGCCACCCTCCAGTGGCAGTGCATACTGCTGTAGATCCTGAGGCAGGGAGACCTGTACCCCTGCTAATTCCACTGAAAAATCAGCTTCTAACTGACATGCCGTGAGGCAAAAATTATACGTATCACTACAGCTGCCTTTGTTTAATGAGCATTTATATTGCTTGTATTCCAACTCCCTGTATGAGCTTAGCTGGTCTTGCGAGATACTTCTGAGTGAGGCCTTGTTTTGGGTGGTGTAGAAGGGACAATGAGATATTTCCTTCTGACTTGAACATGAGTTGCTGTTACACTCTGCTTCTGTGCAGTAAAACATGGTAAGATGCTGGTGTTGATGTCCTCCACAGGCTGCTTTGGGCTGAGGGAGCTGGACCACCTGATTGCTGTATTCGCTGGTTCCCTGAGCGGTGGTCGGATGATCCCTGCAGCAGGGACTGCTGTGATTTTATGATGTCAGTGTCACTATTCTGGAGGCTACTGTCAACTTCCCCCTGCCTGTGGAGCAGGAAAGGTCACATGCAGAGTCTTCTGCTTCAGTGCAAGAGGAGCTGGATTTGTGCAAGGGGCCGCTGGAAGTGGTTTAAACCAAGAGAGTTGAGTTTTGCATGGAAGCAGGGAGAAATGCTCAGCTCATCTGTGGGGTGGACAAAGCAGGGGTAGATACCACCACCTGAGCTGGGAAAGAAGTAATGGATAGCACGGGAGCCTCCACCTCTCACATGGCCCCATCTAGTTTGGTTGTGATAGTCTATTTGAGAGCTTCCTTGTGTGTTTTGGGTAAGTTTGGGTAAGCTTTGGGTAAGCTCCGTGCCTCAGTTTCCTCCGTTTGTGATACAGATGATAGCATGGCTGTCAAACTCAGATGTTATCACGCTCAGGATTGCTGTGTGTTACTGTTGACTACCCGTTAGGTTTGGAGTTGCCCGTGGGAAGAGGGCTCTGTGGTCAGTGGATAGCAGGGCTGTCCGTGGGCTGAAGTTCCCATGAGTATATTTGTTAAGCTATAAGAAACCAACAGAGCCCCAATTGAGTGATAGAAGTGGTGCTCAGAGTTAATTATTAAACTGTGCTGGCAGATTTATCTAATAAATAAACAGTGGAATTCGGGATTTTTCAACCACAAAAAGATCACCTTTCCCTCTGGACAGAGGAGCTACGTTTTCATTGGAAGTGGGTGAACCATATCACCAAGAAACAAAAACCTGAGCTCCTGGTACTCTGAGCCTTCATTCTTTTTTCTCCAGTATGTGACCAGGGGCAGTCTTTGAGGTGGTGAGAGCACAGGATCACCCAAAACGTCCTCCACTGCCAACCTCCTGCTTTTAGGGCCTGGGCTACTGCCTGCCCTGGTCTTGCGACCACCGGCAGAGGCACTTCCGGTCGGATCGAACTGTGTCCCAAACCGTGTCCGGGTAGCAGCCGTGAAGGACCTGGGCTGTACACAGCTTTTCATTTTCTTCCTCTCTTCCAGGCAATGAGTATGAATCACATAGCTGGTGGTGGGCATGCGTTACCTGAGGTCAGTCTGAACATCAGGCAACTTCCCAGATGCAGCCCAGCCAAGTACGGGTTAAATTCTGAATTGTGAAACTGCATATCTTTACAGAGAGGAAAACGAACCAAGAAAATGCAGTTCTAGATTAAATATAATGACGAGGTGCCTTCTTGGATGCACTGGTTTTCCCCCTAATTTAGGAGACACACACTACCCGCCCCAGGTAGTTGCTGGGGAGAGCTCTGCCTTCACCCAAGGTGGTTCCTCCCATCCGGCTTTTTTTCACCCGCCTTATTAAACTTCATTTTTTTCCTCTAGCAGATGGACTTTTTGGCTTTGTATTAAACCAGTGCGTGATGACTGAGTTCCCTTCCCCTTTACCCTGCGATGGGGCTTTGAGATGAAAAACCGTACATACGATAGCCGGGACGCTCCCTCCCCCGCCCTAGCCCTAGGTCTTTGCCGAACTGAACCTCCCATTTTATTCCTTAATGATCATATTCTTTCCACTTTAAATAGATTTCCTGCTGTTAACAATGTTTTCAAGTGTTGCAACACTTCATAAATTGCATCTCCTGAGAGGTGTTTACTGTACGCGCGTTTCCTTGAAGCCGTAACCTCTCGCTTGCCGTTTGCTTTTCGCCGAGCCCGCTGCAGAAGCAGAAAGGATACAGATGACAGACCTGGCAGTTGCAGGCCTCCTAGATCAGCCGTTCTCCTACACCTTGTGTTGGTTTGAGAGGGTTATGTTGTTTCAGCCATGCGTTTGCAGTGCGGTCGCGCCGATCAAAACAGAGATGCGCGCAGCGCTTTGGGGACCTCGGGGAGAAGGACTCTCCTGCAGTCGCGACGGCGCGCGGGAGGGCAGAGCCCCGGCGCGTTTCTTCTCGTATTCGTAGCCAAGACCTAAAAAGCTTAGACAAAAAGCGTTCACGCTATTAAAGGTGTCCAAGTTGTTGGGTTTTTCTTTTTGCACTTGATCATTTGATTCTGCTGCAGCCCTTAGCTCAGCGCTGCGAATCGTTTGCTTAGTGCCGAAATGCCTTTCTGTTAGATGTTTATGTTAAATGTTGCAGAGGGGTCTGCGCAATGCTGAAGACAAAGGCTTCAGGCGTACGTGGAGAAGAAAGCCGTTCGTAGGAGTTCACGTGCCTGCTGGTGACTTTGGCTTTGCGATAAGGAATTAAGGAAGAATTGTTTTGATCAGGGAGATGTTTTAATTTCACGTCGGAGAACTTGTTCTGCTCTTTTTTGTTTCTAAATACCCGTAGGTGCTAATGTTTTCGCCTGTACATCCTATAGTTGGACAGTCAGATTGTGTGCTTTGTTTGTAGAGAAAATATTTGGGACGCCCACCTCTTCCAGGAGGTAGAAATTTCTGGTGCTTCGCGCTTGAAAAAACTCAAATGTCTAACTAAGGGTTTGCTGGGCCTGCGTTAAATGTTGCTTGCTGCTTGACCGTATCTGTTTTGGCCACTTTGTCCTGACGGCCACTGTCCCGGACTAGGTTGCAGTTTTGCTTTTCTTTTGGAACGAGCCACTTCATCAGGGTTCCTTGCTGTCTCTAGCAATTGTAAGCGAATGAAGCTTTTCCTTAGGCTTTCAAATATCTATTCAGATCCAGCTCTAATTCTCAGACCAGAGTGAGACCCCATGGACGTCCGAGATGTCACTTCCCCGCTGCCGTTGGTCCCTCCTCACGCAGCTGAGATCGCAGCTTCAGGGCGTGCGGCCGACGGGATGCTTTGTGCCGGCGCTCCTCCTTCATCAGCGCCAAGTCCGCCAGGCTGCCTTGAACCGTGTCCGGCGGCCGTCTAACCTGAGCTGGCCACGCTGTGCTGGAGCAAAGCGAGGAGCGTTCACGTGAAGCCTTCTGCTGGCTCAGCTCTGAGCACCGGGCCCTCTTTGCAGGGACGACAGCGTGGTGGGAACCATCTAACCTGCCCCAGCCGTTTCTGCAGTGCTCAAGTCACCGCAACCTTTTTCGCGTGCTGCTGCTGCGTTAGCGTAGAGGCAGAGTAGATGGGGTGGAAATGGGGTTGCGTATTGGTTGAGCAGAGTTGTAACCCGCGTCCAACAGGACAGCAAACGATGCTCGGTATGTTAAAGGCTTTTTAGTCTGCTGGCTTCTCCGCTGCCCTCAAGGAAATTCTGCTTCCTGGGCTGCAAAGATGATGTATCGTATAATTGAAAACCACACACTCCAGCGGGTCCGTGAGTTTTTTGGACGTAATGATTTGCTGTTCTTTGCCCAACGTAGTATGTGCTGTACAAGCTCTTCCTGTGGATGCAAGGTTATAAATTGATAGCTATTTACTTTTTTCCGTTCTTTTAGCTATTTTGGTACGTCTTTGTCAGTTTGTGTTAGCCGCTTCTCCGACCCTCTCAAGGGCACCTCACTTCAGTGTTCCCAGTTTGCCGCCGGCCCTCCCGAGGCGCGAAACGCCTGATCCCGGGCGCTCCCGGATGCGAGGCACGGGCTGCTGGCCCCCCGGCCGTTGCCGACCGGCGGTCGGAGAAGCAATAGATGTTCTGCCGTTTTTCTGTTCGGAGAAGAGGTTTATCCAGCAGCTGGTTGGACTGAATGAAGCAGAGGCCTGTTCATTCAGCATAAAGGCATTTAAGAGAAAATACCGTATATAAATACTTGCATGAGAATTTGCCTTACTGGGCAGCCTCACATCTTTGTGGGTGTAGACCCTGGCTGTGGTCGTGGTGTGATGGCTGTCCCCTCCGGAGCGATTCCTTCCTTCTCCAAAGCTAAGGCTGTTCTTCTGCACAGGT